CGGGGTGGTCATGATGAGCCGCAGGATCAGCATCGGTAGCAGCGGAGCACGGCTGCAAATGGCTGCAGTGCGGCGCGGATGAATCTCGCGCGTTACTCCGCTCCGCTCGTTTTAGAGCTAATTGCATTTCCTGCTATCCCCCCGCCCCTTTCACCACCACCACCACCCCGCGACCCGGTGGTAGCAGCGTGCGACACCGCGACTATTTCCGCCTCAGCTCACCAGCTCACCCCCCTCAACCCCCTCGCGCGTTCGTTCTTGCCAGGCCTCCTCCTAAGCTTCTGTGTGCCGCACATTGCGCCGCACTCACTGTGTGCTCGCTTCGGCAGCTCGCGTTGCGAGAGCAGCGTGCGCGTAACTTTTCATTGCGCCGGAGAGGAGGGAAGCAAGCAGGGGAGAGACAAGGGGGGAGGGCTGGCAGCTCGAGAGGATGCCACGATGTCACTGGCGCAACCCTCATACCGGGCCTAGCCCCCCAACCCCAACCCCTACCTCTCCCTTCCCCAACCCCCCGTCGCGTTGCCGCTCGCGCCCCGCTGGTTTCCAGGTTTCCGGTTGCGGCTTCGAGCCGCTTGCCTTCAATTTCGCCCCAGTTTCAGTTCGCGCTCGACACCGACCAACCAACCAGTCAAGGCGAGCACGGTCCGCTGGCTTGTTGTGTGCGCCTCGTGGCACCGAGAGGAGGGTGGTGGTGGAGGCCGCTGCCGGCTGCCGCTGCAGCTGCACACTGCGCGGCGCGTGCCCGCCACGTGACCCGCTGAACCGGAACGCACGACGTACATATATTCCCCTTTCGCAAAGGGGGTAATAAAAACAACTTTTTTCTTGTCTCCACATTTTCCCCACCAACTGCTTTATGTTAATTTAGAGCAAACTCATTTGAGTTGCCGTGGAGATGGACCCCCCCCCTCCCCCTCCCCTTTTCCTCGCCTCTCACTTTTCGTAGCACCACACCCTTTGAGGGGGGGACCACGGACCACGGAGTCGCAGCTCGCCGCACGGCCGCACTTGCCGTCCCTTTCTGCGCCCTTCAGATCCTCCCCCCACCCCTTTCTCGGGTCCTGGTGCCGCCCCTGCCTCCGCGCCGTCCGTCCCATCCCGAGACCCAACAGGACTAGGCAGCTCTTCCCCTTTCCGGCACGCAATGAATACCTCGCCCCACCCCCGCCCCAACCCCTTCTCGGTGGCCCGGCGGTCCAGCCAGTAGTCGGACGCTCAAAGCAAAGTTTTCCCCGGGGCGCGTGTGGCCGAGGGGGGCCGAGCGGCAATAGGGAGGGGTAGTCATGGGTAAGGGGGGCGAGGGGGAAGGGGATGAAGAGGGTGGGCTCTGCATCGCTCGGGATGGACGTGCCACGACTGTAAAAAGGGATTCCAAAGTAATAAGGCGTTAGCAACTTACTTGGGGCATCCTCCGCGTCAGGCGCCACACGCCTAACCGGGTCAGAAGGAATGCGTCGAGAGTTTAACCCGGGTGGGGCGGGGCTGGGCGGGGCGAGGGGTGTTTCACTTTAAATTCTGTCGAACACCAATTTTTCTGTTTTTCTTCATTTTTTTCTGATTTTTTCTGACTTTTTATGAATTTCTCTTACCTTTTGTTGATTGTTTAAAACAATTTTTTAATGATTTTTTCGTGATTTTTTTGAGGGAAGGACCCCCTCAGGGTGGGGCCCTGCTGCGGTGCAGATAGTGTTCGTTTGCGCAGCGTAGGGTGGCGCGTCAACGGCTACAGCTACAACACGACATTAAAGCGTGAAAAGTTGTGGGGAGAAACATCCTGTACCGTCACCAATAAGTTTCCGTCACGCGGGTATTATTGCCGTTTTGTCTCAGACGGCCTTCAGATCCGGCCCTCTCGAAGTTGGTACGGTAGCGCACGGAACACAACGGGGCCGATAACTTTGTTCTTCGCTCGCGTTCATGTTCTTTCGCCCACTACTTGCCGGAATCCGCGTTGTTTGAATTGTGAGCGTTGCAGCTTTATACGCACACACATTTCTGCCGAGGAATTACGAATTGTTTTGAGTGGTTTCACCGGGTTTCACAGAAGAATGCCGCGCGACACAATTTTCCTCAAACACTCAACAGAGGGGCTGATTTTTGCATTATGAAGCCATTCTTTTACGCTTCCCTTCCTTGTCATCGCAGCATCCTGTCGGTCGCCGCGATGAGGGGGGGCCAGCGCCGTTAGTGCCACTGCAACAGCTGCTGCCGCCACGCCGCCCGCCGCCCCGCCGAGTGCGCTGCTTTCGGAAGGAAGTGAAAGGCGCGGGGGGTCGGGAGGGGGAGGAAAGGGGGGCCCTTCAAAGCCGGGCTGAGTTGGCGGACTCATTCTTCGCCCCCGCCCCCTATCTCCCCTTCCCCCTTTTCCTCCGCCTCGGCCTCGAGTCTTCAACTCGAGCTCGGCCGGCATGGCTCTTCATTCCCCGGGCGCGCTCGGCGCCGCGTTGGCCCCCCCGCCGGACCCCAATCGCGCAGATAAGAGTCCCGCCCCGCCCCGCGCCAGCAGCGCAACGCCACGCCACGCCCTGAGCCGCCCCCGCCCCGGGGCCCCGTAGCACCCTCGCCCGGCTCTTCGCGGTCCTCGTTGTTGTCGAGAAGGACGCTCATTAGAGCTGCAGCTCGTATGCCTGAGATGAGGTTAGGGTGGGGGAGGGGGGGGGTGGATCCCCCACGTTTGCCTTAATTACGTATTTTCCAACAAGTTAAAAGGCAAGAGATGTTGTGCCTGCGACATATCTCCAATAACATGGGAGGCGATATCAGAGGACCAAACGACGAAGAACAAATTTGACACACGACTCTCTTCTTTTGTCACCAAACACCCCACCTTTCTAAATCACACGTGAGCGAACGACAACGCAAGACAACACGCGAAAAAAAGAATCAGGATAGGAGATTGGGGGCGACACGTGTGCGCTCTACTAGCGACTCGACTCAAAGTTCGGTTTGAACCCCAGTGGTTCGTCTCCCGTCGCATCACTTCTTTCAGTCCGATTCAACTTTTATCAAACTCGATCCGGGGGTAGTAAGTCCATACTTACCGCCTTTTGGTAGACCCTACCGCCCATACCATCTTATAGTGTATTTCGACTAGCGGAGGAAGAAGAACGGCGGGTAGAACATAAACGGTACCGATTGATCGAGAGCTTCACGCCTCTACGTCACGCCGGTAGTGGGGGTAGGCGCTCGGCCAATCAGGATCTTTTAGGTTCTACCCGCTATTCTTCTTCCTCCGTTGGTCGAAATACACGATAGGTCTCGCGCACCGTCTTCTTGCGGCCTACCCCAACACCCGCCTGGCCCGGAGCGCCGCCGCCGCCGCCGCCGGGATTTCCTTTTATCGCATGACTAGCGCTACTGGGGCGCGTCGGGCGTTCCCCTCCCCCCGGAGGCGGACCCCGCGGTCGTCCAGGCCACGGAGTTGAGAGATTCGGTTGGGACACTAGGGGTATGCCTGGGGATGTCCAAGTTAGGGATCCATTATTGGTACCGGTGGGCGCCGCCCGCAGCGCTATATGCAGAGTGTATCGGGACAGGGACGGGACGTCCCCTCCACTTCCCCATCCGCAGTCGCGGTCGCGCGAGGAAGAGGGTCAAGTCTTGTCAACTCACAGACAGCGAGCGCAGCGCAAGGCATCTCACTTTGTTGCCGCCGGACCGGACAGAATGGAGCTGTAGGAACACCTGCGTCTCTCGTCCTTGCTTCCGTACATACTCGTCAGTCCCGACGTCGTTGCCCCTTCGCGGGCCGTCGCTGCTGCACTAGCTGTACTAAGGTAGGCGAATCGACTGTGGAGAGCCCTCAGGAGGTGGCGTGGCGTAGCGCCGTGCTCAATCAAAGCAGAAGATAATAAGCGACATACAAGCAGAGGTTAGATTTCAAACAGTTTAGAGCGGGCCTATGCATCTAGCACCTCGGTACCACCTTTATCAAAGTTTATTACGACAGTTGAGTCATTATAATCGAGTTAAAATAGTACCAATAAAGCATTTCGGTGAAGTTAAAATGCAGAAGAATGCGAGGAAGAGGAAACGGAAATCACTATGCTTTTACATGGGATTTCCGTTTTCTTGTTCCCTGCATTCTTCTGCATTTCAGCTTTACCGGAATGCTTTATTCAAAACGTTTCTTCACTAACCTAATGACACCTGGGGTGTGTCCGAATTCTCGGCCGGTCCGGTCCGGTTTGCTCGCAGCCGCACCAGTTGCTCAGGGCAACCACACATTCGCGACAAGGACACCGCAGGTCGCGGGGCTAACCTCGCGAGTTTTCCCCGTAGTGGGGTAGCTAGCGAATCACCCCCGTCGCAGGGGTGCAATCCTCGCGACTCGCGGCTTGTCATCTCGCGGGGTGTTCGCGGTCGCGGCCCTCGCGGCGTCGCGGGTGTTGGTAGCAGCCGAATGGCGGCTGGCGCGGCTCGCAACGGCCGCAGAGCAAACCGGACGGGCCGCCAAACTGCACAGCAAAACACAGCATGGTCGCCGGCGTTCTGCTTTGATTCGGCACGACGCTAAGCCACGACTTCTCCTCAGTGCAGTGCTACCTTTGCTCTTGTTCCTCTTATCGGGCAGCTTCCATCGACCCCGGTCGACCCCAATGAGAAATGCATGTCGAAACGATGTGGTTTTGACCAGTTTTCCATCGTTTCGGTGTCGTTTCGACCTGTCATTTTTCACTCGGGCGTTCTTTCCCATGCTGACCCAGACCGTGTCTTATTTGCAGAGCATGGAGAAGCTATCGGACGACGTGTTGCTGATGGTGCTGGAGGAGCTGGAGGAGGCGGAGGACATCCTGACCTTCCGCGTCGTCTGCAAGCGGTTCGCCGCCCTTGCCCTGCACCCGGCCGTGTGGCGAAACTTTGACGTCAACTACGACAAACCTTACTGCTCGTGCCCCCTGCTGCGTATGGCGCCCTGCATTGACACGATTTCTATCCGCCTTCCTGCAGAGGGCTGCCTCCAGCGGGCGTGCACCGCGACCAGGTGCGCCGCGGCGAGGTTGTGCATTGGTGTGGACGGGGCCTCGCACGCCGGGCACGCTGCAGCCATCATCAGCAGGCAGGAGACGCTCGGTCGGCTCATTGACGTTGAAATAGAAATCAGCTCCGCGGTGGCGGCTGGTGATGCCTGCATGCTGTTGAATATGTTGGCGTCGACGTCTCGCTTAAAGAGCCTCTGCGTCATGGATCGCGGGGAGGACCGGCTGCCAACCGCACACAACCGCATTCTGGCCAACACTGTGGTCGCGCCGTCGCTGAGGGAGTTCGGATGTACCCTCTACGCGCTGACGGAGCCGTTTGTGCAGTTCATCCTGTCCGAGCACGCCGCCACCATCGAGGAGGTTAACCTCGGGGGCTCCCCGTCCACCCTGAGCATGACATCGATTGCGCCCCTGCTGGCCGGCGTGACGAACCTCAGAGAGCTGACGGGCAGCTACCTGCCCGGGATGGAGGCCCTGGCGGCCTGCAAGTCACTCAGTGTCCTGCATCTCATCATGTTCCACACCGAGAGTCTCAGCGGGCCGGCCGTCGCGGGGTCGGCCCAGCTCCTCCAGCGCGCTGAACAGCTGCGTGAAGTGACCCTCGAGTACGAGCCCGCGGTGCGTAGCGTCGCCGACGTCGGCGCAGACCTCGTCCTGGCTCTCGCTGCCTCCGGTCGGTCGCGCGTGGAGAGGCTGCACATCATCAACTATGGTTGTGGTTGTGTTGGAAATCCCCCCTTGCTTCAGCTGCTGGTCAGCGCGCTGCCGTCGCTGTCGGCGCTGCGGTGCCTGGTGTTAGAGAACGGCGCAAAGAAACCAGACGCGCTTCTGATGGCCATCCGGCCCGACGTGGCGCCGTCGCTGCAGAGAGTTGAGGTGTGTCTGTCCGAGGGCTGCGCTCACTTCTGGCTCCACGGCGACACGGTCAAGACTGTTATGGCGGCGAACCCCTCACTCCATATAAAGTTGGACGCCTCGAGACTGGTCTGTGGTGGTAATACCGCGCGTTGCGGGGCATGTCAACTGGGCTGCCACGGTGAACTGAGGGGCGATGGTACCTTGAGACGTGATCTTACTTCGGGGTCCTTCCCTTGCGTGCCTTGCATTTTCTCTCATGACCCTATGGATGAGTGTTCGGAGGACCACAGTGAAAACTCATCCGAGCTCTGGATCCACCTGCCTTTATGAATCGTTATGTGCAGTTTTGTAATAGTTTTTCAGTGAATAAAGGGTCAGTTTTCTTTCCACACAAAATCTTTTCTCGTCACACCCAGAGGCACCTGCATTTCCACGTCATACGCGTCAACGACATTTGACGGCCTGACTGGTGTTATGAACATCTTACTACATTCGGTGGCGCAGTGGCAGAGCGCAGTTTTGTACTAATTTTTGTGAGATCTCGCACTAATTAAAAGCCGATATCAAATTTAATAGCGTCCTCCCCTCCATTCGCATCACAATCACATCACCAGCTGCGCTACGGCACTAGATTCGTAACCCCCCCCCCCACGACACCCGGGGCCCCATGATCACTGTGCATCGCCCCTCTCTGTCAGCCGCGCACGGCAGAAAGGAAATCTACGTTGCTTTTGCGAATACTACGAGAGCGTGTTTGGGGATGTGAAGCGACGAGCTCCAGCGCGCTCTCTTGGCGACGTACCTCAATTTCAGTGTCGTATTACCCCCCCCCCCTCCTGGTCCAGTCAGTCCGGTCTCTCCGTTCCGTTCCTTTCCGCCTTGCACTGGGCTTGCAGTGCAGACCAGTCAGAGTCCAGTAGTCAGTCAAGTGCGCCTCTGGTTCTGAGCAGCTCCGGACCAACTACAATCAACTCACCCCACACTCACTGCCAAGGTAAGAGAGTTGAAAATGCACGAGGGAGCTTTCTCATAAGAGGCACAAGAATAATGTAGCCCCAGGGAGATGGCGTGGCGTTGTCTAAACAACGCCACGCCACCTAACGGCACCTCCCTCTTCTTGTTCCTCTTATGTGACAGCTTCTTCATACGGGTCCAGGTTTTCGCGTAGAGTAGACTTTAGCACAAACTGAGAGCAAACTGTTCCTAGGACGCGGTTTACGTCTCTCGTGCGGCTCGATGGCATCGTTCGTGCTGACCCTGGAGCAGCTGCCGGACGACGTGCTCGTGTTGGCGATGCAGCTCTTGTCCGTGGAAGACATCCTCGCCTGCCGCCTCGTGTGCAAGAGGCTCTGCGGCCTGGCCCTGCACCCGGACGTCTGGCTCCACCGATCGCTCAAGGACGACGAGCCGCGCGCGGACGCGGTGCTGCACCTGGCCCCGTGCCTCGAGAAGCTGACCGTCACGGGCCGAGTCCCGACCTTGGCGGTGACCACGACCAGGTGCGCCGTGGCAAGTTTGGAACTAAAGAAGAACAGCTATAGAGAGTTCCGTAACGCCGCGGAGTACGCCTTTGCCGTGCGGAACCAGGAATTCCTGGGGCGTCTTAAGAAACTTGAACTTGATATATATGGGGAGGCTAACGCAGACGTGCTGTACAGGACTGTGGCATCGTGTTCCGGCTTGGACTCGCTCACTGTCGTTTTCGGTCCCCAAACCACCCACCCTGTTGTTCATGGGCCGCCCAGCTCGTCGCTCACGATTTTCAGGTGCGGGGTCAGTGCAAACTCGACGTCCTTTGTGAACACCATACTGGCCGGGCACGCGGCTACCCTGGAAAAGGTTGAGATAAACAACGCAAGAATTGAACAATTTGACGTGGGGGAGACTACGACGGCAGACCTGTTAGCCGCCATGCCGAGACTCCGAAGTCTGCTATGCGACAGTACGTTTTGTGGGTTTGAGGAGGTTGCGGCGTGCAAAACGCTGAGAGACGTGACCATTGAACTGTGGATTTGCTCCGGTGATTTCGGCAGCGTTGCAAAGTTCCTCCGCCGAGCCAAACAATTGCAACGTGTCCGCCTGGAGAACGGCACGGGAGTTTCCATCGGCGAGCACGGCGCGGCGTTAGTCGACGCTCTGGTTTCGTCCGGGTGGTCCCACGTAGAGCGACTGGCCCTTTATGAGCTCGAGGACGCACAGCCGCTGCTCCGCGCGCTGCCCTCGCTGCCCGCCCTTCGCCACCTGGACTTGGTGAACGCTGATACCGAAGACGAAGACGAGCGAGGTCTTTTTTATGAGTTCGAGGCGTTCGAGGACGCACGGCCCTTTCTCTACGCGCTGCCCCCGCTGCCCACCCTTCGCCACCTGGACGGGGTGGACGTGCTGCTCAAGAGCATCACCCCCGTCACGGCCCCGGCGTTGAGGCTGCTGGAGATTGAGGTCGTGAGCGTGAAGTGCCCCCACGCCTGGATACACAGGGCAGCCGTCAAGGCCGCGCTGATGGCGAACCCGCTGCTGCACATCCAGCTATGGTGCTACCCTACTCGAAGGCCAGCGCCCCAAGAGTGCGAAGTGTGCGAGAGAGACTGTCATCAAGGTGTAAAGTGGCACGAAGTGAAGAAGATAGGCCTCTACTCACATGACCCTGAAGAGTGTCCCTCTCCAGAGGATCTCACTCCAACTAACGACGACAACAACTGGAGGAGGTCGTTATTCGAGCGCCCTAACGTCGCGTGTACGTGGATCCATATGTAATTTATGAACTTGTGATTGATTTTGAACTTATGCAACTCTTAGTTTTGTTCTGTCAGACATGTTCAGGAAATAGGTCAATACTTTCATCGTTTTGTATTGTTCATCAGGTTCTTTCAACTCTTAATAAATGAGCAGTGAATGATAAACAAATAATTTTGTACATACCGAGTGTATCTTTCAATGC